TAGTAGTAGTAGTAGTAGTAGTAGTAGTAGTAGTAGTAGTAGTAGTATAGTAGTAGTATAGTAGTAGTGGTACCTTAAGGACCGCTTGTACTTGCCTTACTTATAAGTGAGACAAGTTGCGTCTGCAAGTTGCTTTTAAGTTGTGCAAATAGAATTTAAGTAGTTCAAGTTGTTTGAACTTTTCAGACCTACTTCAAGTTACTTGTAGTATACTTGGCTTCACTTGTTCTACTTAGTAAGTAGAACTAAGTAGAAATATCTTGGCCAGGCTGGTTTGAGCAGGCGGTGGCCTTATGTAGGCTAAGTTACTTGTGTATACTTATACGCTACTTAGATCTACTTATCCTACTTATGTGAAAGTTGCATTTTTCAACATTTTTTTCGCGAATGAGAAAAACACATGAAAAACATTGCTTTTTTGTTTTATGGCGCAAACTTGGGAACTCAAGTTATTTCATGGTTCGCGCTCCCATGTGAAAGGTGTTGTGCAGAGGGTCACTTTCAGCGGTATGGCCGCTCCTGCGCAAGCTTTCGGTTGGATGTTGTTGGGGCATTTGGCTCATTTCATGACTTTCTGTCATGATTTTTCGTGTTGATGTCATGCTTTTGTTAATGTTTCGTATTCGTTGGTAGTGTTTCTTTTGAGATTTCGTGTCAAAGCAAGACAATATGATTGGACGAGCTTCTTGGACAACTATAGATTCCAGATGGACACAATGGACCACGCGCATCATTTGGTGCAGAATTTACCTTGCTACAAATATGGCGTATATATCCAAAGATATATATATATATAGTTGCTATTGTTACATATAGTTTCTTCCAGCCAATGTTCTTCCAATTAACGTTCTGTCCACGTGTGGCCAGCAATGAGCGACCGGGTGAATGAGATTCCGCCTTGGAGGAACAGGACTGCGGTGGCCAAGGTAAGTGGAGCGGCTCCTTCACCTTGCAGATCTTCCAGCCGTGGTGATTCTATGTCTGGCATTGCCCCAGTCAATGGATCCACTTCGAAGGCATCGAGCCCTGCAAAAGTGTCCAGCCCTACAACAGCACCAACCTTTGCAAAGGCATCTAGCTGTGTAACTTCAGTGACTGCTGCTTGTGCAAGTTCTTTGCCATCGACGCCGCCGGTGATTCCACCCTGGAGACAAGATCAAGCAGGACCTGCGCTCGCAGCGGGTTCCTCTGGCACTGATGGCCTACTAGTTGGCGCATCTCCGCAGATGGTTCCAGAGCTTGAGGTTGGAGCTCGGTGGAAAGCTGCCGCTCCATGTCCACTTCCGCCTCGTTGGAGCTCCTGGTTTCGTTTTTGAGTTACATTGTGATGTACCCAGGCCTTCGGTAAGAGCATACCCCACCATCTTCTTCTGCGCATTGGCCATTGATCTGCAAGATCCACTATTTGATGTACCTCCCAGTTGTGTCTGGTGGCGAAATCATTCAAGAGGCCTTGAAGATATGGATCATCTTGAACCTGCGGCACAGATTCGAGGATGGCTGCTTGGCATTGTATCAGGTGAATGACCTCAAGACCTGCTTCAAGGGTTTTGGATCTGCTGTCTTGTGCTCCTCCTCGGGCTCCTTGTCGGGAGTCTGGTTCACATGGAAATCCCATAATGGCAATGGGAGAAGTGCCAGTGGTGTATCTGTGGATCTTCTGGGCTGCATCTGGGTGGGTGATGTCAAGCTGGATGACCGGCGCCGCGCTGTTGCGTCGAAGGTGCGACACAGCCAAGGAATTCGAGTCCACTCGAACCAATGGGGTGAATCCCAAGTATTCCATACCGAAACCCATCCCACCAAATCCTGAGCAAAGATCAACGAACTCTGCCGAAAGACTGGTGGTGGCCTTGCCAACATGCCATGTTGCGTTTTCAGCAATGACCAGGATTGGTAGGTCCTCAGTCTGCTGGACAGTGGCATTGTAGACCGTGATCTTCTCGCGTGGGAGATCCTTTCCAGCAACCAGCACGGAGTGTCCTGATTCCAAGGCGCCCAACATCAGGTTCTCATCAACCTCATCCAAAACCTCCAGGATTCCTGTGTATGGTTTCCCCACAGGAAGGGACATCGAAGGATCTGGGGACGACATGGCACGAGTGAATCGTCTCCCAACTCTGCTTTCCAAAACTACTATATGAACCCATTGCCCACTCTCTTGATCCCGTTTCCCATATATACCCACATATGCACAACTATCCGCACTGCCAGCCAGAGGGCGCCACATACACACAGAATGCCCCATTGTCTCTTTCTGCCACGAACAACATATGATGTTCTCAACACATACTTCCTCCCTTCCTCCCACGGTCAAGGAAACTAAACTGCTGGATCCTATTTTTCGTTTTGCTCTTACATGCGCTAGCTATTTTCAATCAGTTCTTTAGCAATCCTAGCGCAACCAGCAGCCTGTGCCTGCCACAGCGAACCAGGATCGCGATGGGCATCCTGCATCACATGCGCACATCACGCACAACATATATTGCTCTCCTCTGAGGCCATATACTTTCGAAAAAACTGACCACGTCCTTCCAAACCATTTCAAGCGGAACAAACCCGAGCACCCCCTGTCGCTGCTACGCGGTACCTGTAGTCTGGTGGACCCATATCGTGCGCAGGGCGTATCCCGATGCCCCCGCGCCCTACTCTACTTGCCCATCCAAGGCAAAGCAACCCAAGGCTTCTTCGAGCACCTCGGTCAAAAAAGATTTCATCTACTGCCATGACCTCATCGCATCTTCACAGCCAGCCTCACTGCGCCCAAGCCCATCACCATGCCCTGCTCAAGCGACACCGGTCGCGCCAGGAACAGCTGCATCAGTCCAAGCCCCGCTCAACCCGGTACAGACCTTTTTCGGAGCCTGGGCCAACTCGACCTTGATGCTTGCAGCCGTTCGTTTCTTGCCATTCTTTGTCTGCCCGTCCTGCACAGCTGCCAATTCTTTTTGGAATGCTGCGATGAGGCTTTCTGGTGGGCGCCCCATCAAACCAGCTTTCCAAACAGCGCTCGCATGCACGGTCTGGAATTTGCTCTCCTGGAACTCGAGGCCTGCAGGTGAAACCAACGCGCTACTACAAACAGTAACAACACAAACCTGGTCCTTGCAGCCTGCTTTCATATCCTGGCACCTATCTTTTACCATAGCGGCTTTTTGCAACCCCCCCTGCCTCCCACCACCACCAGGCATAGCTGCTGAGCGTCCAGAACAAATTGGGTCTGCACTTCCAACGGCACCTTTGCCACCACATCCACTGCCACACTTTCGGCGTCCTGGTGGTCCTGGGCCAGGCAAGCGCAGCCAAAGTTCCTGATATTCGACTGCAAAAATGTTGTTTTTTTTAACATTTTTCTTGTTTCTGCGCAAACTTGGAAAAACTAGTGAATTTGAAGGTTTTTGTAATGGAAAATGAGGACACCAGCGCGCAATCATTGATTATTTTCTATTTGTGTTGGAGCGGGCACACCGCTAAAATCACTAAATGGAGCGGAAAGACCGCTGTCGGGTACACCTAAACTCATGTTTTGTGAAACCTGGCGTGTCCGCTTGTTGCACATAGAGTACGAGAAGAAATGTAGGTGGATCTATGCGCTGTATTTATCTGGATTTCTTTGCGTTTATACACATACATCTTCGAAAAGCATGTCACGAGGCGTATGTACATAGAGTAGCGTACACAGAAGAACTTGCGAGCTAGACGCCAGTATGTATATGTGTGTGTTCATACAAATCTGCGCGAAGATATGCGCTGGTACACGCATAGACATTACAGTAAGTCATCTGCAGGTGGTAGTATAGTGATGAGGGGACAACAGCCAATACATGTATAGGTGAGCACGGTCACGCAGGTGCATGAATTGGTGCTGGAAAACTGCTGAAAAGTGAACCTGAAGCGCGATAACTTTTCCATGGACCTCACGGACGTAGCAGCTTCTCATCCCAGGTGCTGGAGGCACTCTTTCATGAAACTTTCAGAATCTTCAAGCACCTTATTGTCGATGCTACACTGCAACTTCTCTAAGACGTCCAAGGAAATGGCTAGCTCACGCTTCAGGGCTTCACGGCGGTACAGGTTGAGCCTGGCCAAGCCCTTTGGGATCGTAGGATCTGGCAGCGCAACAGGACGGGGAAGGCTGCTTGAAATAGT